AAGATTGAAGACTTAAGATTGAACACTGAAGATTGAACACTGAAGAATTAAGATTGAACACTGAAGATTGAACACTGAAGATTGAAGATTGAAGATTGAAGACTGAAGATTGAAGACTGAAGATTGAAGATTGAAGATTAAAGATTGAAGATTGAAGATTGAAGATTGAAAATTGAAGATTGAAGACTGAAGATTGAGGACAGAAGACTGAAAACACAAGACTGAGAATTCCAGACTGAAAATGGAAGACTGAAAGACACGAAGGCAGATGACAGGAGACATATGAATCAATCAAGGCAAATTTTTGATATATAAATGTTTGTATGTATGAAGATGTACATGTGTTTATAAACTAAATATAGGGATGCATTGGATAATAATTTAGCTTAGGTTTTTTACGTGCACGTTGGAATATTCGTCTCATCCACCGAGACCTAAAGGAAATTCTATTGGGAATTTATTGATTTCTATTGCATAGCTCAACCACACCTCCTTCTCGTACGGTACATCATGTGTATAGTCTGTATTATGTCATATCTTGCAATCTTTATATCATATCTAGAACACATATGCTCTTTTCAGATTTTATATTGTATACTTATTTGGTCTATGGTAGTATCTTGTATCTTTCCCACCCCAATATTGTTTATCTTATAACTGTTCTTTACCTCAATCGCTATCTCTACTTTTGTGCTATTGTTATACTATGCGTTTGTTATATTTACAGATTGTGCTACTGTTATACTGCGCTGTTGTTATACTATACTATACTGTGATGGGCGTGCCACACTGTCTCGTGAATGCGTCGGTTATTTCTCCCAGTACATTGAAAGATTCACATTTTGTTTTTGTAATATAGATTTTTATTGAGTTTTCAACAAATTGAATGACATTCGGTTTGTACGCCTGATTAAACAATTAAACAATAACAATTGCATTCAAATGAATAAACAATGTGCTATGTAATTTGTTGCTTCTTATTTGCTTTCAATTATAATTATTCATTTATTATAATATTATTATCAATATTATTATTGTTTTGTTTTCTATGCACTCAACTTTCAGCTTGACTTGTATTATTGTTTTTTTCTTCCTTTTTACAATTTCTTTAAACATAACAAAAGACGCACGTGGAAATAGTTAAAAAAAAAAATAATAAAGATGTCTAAACACAATAAATAATAATTAATTAGAATTACTTTCGCGGCCGATATACATATATATAAATACAAATTTGTATTTATTTATATATATGCATAAATACATAAATTATAACTGAAATTTGCATTTTGGATGGCAACAAATCAATACTTGAAATTAGTTTTGTAAACATGCAAAGTTGTTGCTGTTGTTGTTTTGCTTTGAACTGATTCGATTTGAATATTCGAACTTAAAGAAAATACTTGGGTTGCATAAATATACAAATTTAACTAAATAAAATGAATTTTAGAAACGGTCGGCTTCAATTTAGATATTGTTTGATTGAGTGTTTGTTGTGGTTGATGTTGCTATTTGGTTTGAGCGGCGAGTGCTTAATTGCTTTAAGCTCTTCTTCCTTTTCTTCTACTTCCTTTTCTAGTTGTTGATTTTTGAACACTCTACCGAAATAGTGGTTGTTGCTGTTTGTTTGTCATCGGAGACTTTGGCTATTTAAAGCTTGGCGCAAATCTCGTTTGTGAATTCCGAGCACTTGGCCTTTCCACCGAGATCACCAGTTAGATATTTGCCCTCTTTGATGGTCTCGAATGCGGCGCGTTCAATCTTGTCCGCATGCGAATTTAGCTCCATGTGACGCAGCATCATCACAGCAGATAGTAGCAGAGCTGTTGGATTTGCCAAGTCCTTGCCCGCAATATCGGGCGCTGTGCCATGCACCGACTCAAATAGAGCACCATTCAAGCCCATGTTGCCCGAGGGCGTTAGGCCAAGACCACCGACCAAGCCGGCGCACATATCAGATAAAATATCACCATACAAATTGGGCATGACCTGAGAGTGAGAGAGAGAGAGAAACGTTTCAAATTAACATTCAAATGCGCAGTGCAGTTGCAAGCGTTGCCAGCTCGCTAATAAATTTTAAACTGAGCCACCGATTCTCGATTAGGGTTCACTTACCAGCACATCGTATTTGCCTGGATTCTGCACCATATTAAGGCAGACCGTGTCCAAGTAGCGTTCCTCGAACTGAATTTCCGGATATTTTTTCGCTGTATCGCGCACGCAACGCAGGAACAAACCGTCCGACATACGCCTATCAAATGAGAGATATATAAACGTATCCAGCTAATAATCTAGAGATGATCTACTACTTACATAATGTTGGCCTTGTGCACAACGGTCACCTTCTTGCGATTGTTATTCTTGGCATACTGGAAGGCATAGTCGGCCACACGCATCGACGCTTCCTCCGTAATGAGCTTGATACTCTGGACGACGCCATCCACGATTTCGTGCTCGATGCCAGAGTATTCACCTTCAGTATTCTCACGAATTGTGACTACATCGACATCATCGTAGAGCGTCTTGTAACCCTCCAGACTGCGGCAGGGACGCACGTTGGCATATAAGTTGAATTCCTTACGCAGAGCCAAGTTAAGCGAACGATGGCCCTTGCCAACGGGTGTCATCAGGGGTCCCTTGAGACCAATCTTGTTGGTATTGACCGAATCGATGGCGGCCTGGGGTATGCCGAATTTGCCATCGGGACCCTGAGTAGCAAAGTATTTAAATCAATATTCAAATTGATATGGCGGGTAAATCAAAGCTGACTGTGTTGCCAGTAAGTGAATGATTTATCTACGAACTTTTCGATAATATCGATTATTTACAACAGGCAAGCGTTGCCAGCGAGTTTTTGCGCGGCCTATTCAAAAATAACCTGTTGGAAAATCATATGATCAGATACTTACACGCACGGGTGTTACATCAACAGCTTCCCACTCGATGGGAACGTTGGCGGCAGTGAAAATCTTTTGCACGGCAGCAGAGATCTCGGGGCCGATGCCATCGCCAGGTATGAGTGTTACCTTTCTGACCCCGGACGCATAGCCGCGAGTGGCAGCGGGCGTTGTGTTGACCTGCAAGCAAACAAATTTAAATGCAAATTGATTACAATCACAATCCACAACGACACAGGATCACAATCTGCAGAACCTATCAGGTTGCCAGATGACTGGTTACATAAGCGACATCTCGCGCATGCAAACGGAAGCAGCGGTGGCGCTGCAGCTAATCGCGCGTTGAGGTTAAGCGCGTCTGGCAAGGTGGGCTGGCAGGCAGGCGGCGGCGTTGCCATCGCTATTTATGCAACCCGTGCGAAATATAGAAACTGATAAGCTTAAGAATCTAATTTATGAGGGTGTTTGTTTTCCCAAATTGATCAGAATCGAATTGAAGTGTTTTTGGTTTTGCAACTATCAAGAAGTCTTAGACAATGTAGGCAATCTTCCATCAACCCCCCGCCCCATCCCTCATTCACGCGGTGTGTTATGTAAACGAAGCAGTGCTTGTCTTTCTTACGCTCCCCCTTTTTGCCCAACGGTAGTTGCTTCTGTTGGTGTTGCTGTTGAATGTGCACGCACCTTGGCTTTAAGTGTTGCTCCGGCCAAGGACGTTGACTCGGTCGCCGCCTGAAAACCCAATTGCTTCAACTGCCAAATTTATGTTTTGCGTAATGTGTTGTTGTTGTTGAGGTTGTTTGCACGTTGGTTGGGGGTGTATGTTAAGAACAAAATCAAAAAGTTAGTTTATGTTGCGTTATTATTAGTTATTTCTTTTGGTTTCTTTCCCCTCCTGGAAGGGCGCACGTAATCACAAATGGGCAAATATTGCATCTGTATGCATGTGTGTGTGTCTGCGGGGCAGAAGGCGAAGGAGAATTGCGAAAGGGTTGACAGTCGCGGCACATACAATGTTTGCTTAACTAATTTGGCAAGCTGTTAAGATTATTTTATTCAACTCTCTTAAGATCTTACAATTTTCTGTATAAATCTAGCAGCCATTGCGTTGCGTTTTTGGGTTACTTGCACTTGGATTATTTTCACGTATAGAAAAAATTTGACCACTCGCACGTCTGAGACTTTACTTTGCGCCCGCCGAATCGCCACCTAGCGGAAAAACTGTCGAATCTGGAGCATGACCGATATGCGCGAGTTGTTGGTTATCGAGCATGCTTGTGTGAGCGTTGCCACATCATACTATTGTCACATGCTTAAAAACAAGTTATTTATGTATGATATTTATATTACTTATGAATTACAATGATTGCAGCTATTATAACCAATAAACCTAAAGTATATTTAGTTCACAGTTATTCGATCACATTTTGATCCTGCTATGAAGATGTAGATAGAGGCTTTATGGTATATAGCAATTAAATAAAGAAGTTGGTGCTTCATTTTCTTACACATATAAAGTTATGATATTTTATTTGACTTTCATTTTTTTTTTTTTAAATACTTGCAGCTTGTTTTATGATCGAAAACGATGGCATCACTGGATAGGCAGCTAAATCGAATCGATATAAGAACACAGCTTTATCGATAATGTCTTTTACAACGTTGCTTCTTGCAGGCACAGTTTAAATTAATTTCGGCTCTTGCGGATATTTTATGCCGTATTGCATATAAAATTAGTCTAAACTAATTTTCTGTGGTTTAATAAATTGCTTAAGTATAGTCCTATCCACTGTTACAATAAACAGCTCGTGCGCGTCGCGTAACCTATTGAACAACAGAATAAAATTAAACGGCCAAACCGACAGACAAAGCTACGCTACGGTCGTTACTGGCAAAGTACGCTGTGGAACGGCCAATGCAGAATTTTGTCATACGCGAGTATTTTTTTTTCGCGTTCAGTTTAGGTTTTAGTTACCTGCGCGCAACAACCCCGTCGCCTTAGTCGCTGCGTTTCCAATTCTAAAACCCGAACATATTACAAAGTGTGCGTTGCATGAGCAATAATACAGCTCCGTGTTGTAATTTAATAAACTCTCAATCGTGTAAATAAGTGAAAACAGCTGCAACAGTATTTTATACTCTGCGTTTGTTTGAGGCGCAAGTCTTTAAATAGTTGTATTTGTTCTCTCTCGTTTGTTTGTTTACTGCAAACGGGTAGCAGTTAAAGGTAAGCCATCAAGCATTTAATGTTTTTTATACGTGTTTAAAATGTGCACTTTGCATTGCATCTCAGCTGCTTGGGCTAATCACGCACACACTCGCAATCATCGCACACACATACAGGCACACGCGCGAATACACACGCGCACACATTAATAGATGTGTATAGCACACGCACAAATACAGATGTATAACCGATTGACAGCACACTACGGCTGTTACGATAAAGTGCGACTCGTAGACTCACTGCCTACTTTGCTTAAAATGCGCCGAGTTTCTATTTAATATCATAATTTTGTCGTAATATTTTTGTTAGTTGACTTTGAGTGATAGATTATTTGTGCACTTCATTTATCGTCTAAGATTTTTTGTTCAAGAAAATTGTACAAAAACTTTATTCGAATTATTGATTTCCTTTTGCAGTTGCTCCTCGTTGGTCCTGTTGTTTGTTTGTTTTCTTTGTTGTTGGAGTTGCAATAATACGCAGCACGCTGGAGAAACAAAATAAACGCTCCCAGCTCATACGCGACAAGATGGTGTTGGCCGAGCGCAACACCGGCGACATAGTACGCAATGGCCGTCGCTCACGTGGACCTAGCCCCAATACACATCAGAGCGGCGGTGGCAGCGCTGCTACTGCTGCCGCAGCCGCTGCTGCTGGGCATGGGCACAATGCTGGCGGCTTGGGGGTAGGTGGCAACTCTGTTAATTCAGGCAACGCGAATGAGAAAGCCGCAGCTGCCGTCACAGGAGCTGGCACACCCGAGAGCTCCGACGATGATAACTGTGAGTATATAGATGAAAATATGTATATATGCACATCATTTTTATTAAAATCTCCTACTTTCACCTAACTTGATCTCCATGTAGCAACCAAGCGAAATGGCAAGTCCAAGGCGAAGCAATCTGAATACGAAGGTAAGCACATTGTTATTTCATACACTTCTTCAGCCGTGTAATTTCAATCTCTGTCATTCTTTCAGAGAAAATCCGTGTTGGTCGTGATTATCAGGCTGTGTGTCCACCGCTCGTGCCTGAGATGGAACGTCGCCCAGAACTGATGAATGAGCGTGCACTGCTAGTGTGGTCACCCACAAAAGAGATACCCGACTTGAAGTGTAAGCAACAATCGATGTACATAGCTGCCGCTACCTGAAAATATATTCTCTTCCACTTCTCTTTCTTCAGTGGAGGAATATATTTCGGTTGCCAAAGACAAGTATGGCTATAATGGCGAACAAGCTTTGGGCATGTTATTCTGGCATAAACACGATTTGGAACGCGCTGTCATGGACTTGGCTAACTTTACGCCTTTTCCCGACGAATGGACCATGGAGGATAAAGTGCTGTTCGAGCAAGCCTTTCAATTTCATGGCAAGAGCTTTCATCGTATACGCCAAATGGTAGACAAACCTTTCCCTATTTCTCTCTACTTCTATATATATATATGTTGATATATATAATACGATGAGCAGATATAGCTAACAATTCTCTTCTTGTAATTAGTTGCCGGATAAGTCGATTGCCAGTCTGGTCAAGTATTATTATTCGTGGAAGAAGACACGTCACCGCAGCAGCGCAATGGATCGACAGGAGAAAATGCTAAAGGCCGCTGTCAAGGACGGCTCCGAGAATGGCAGCGAGCTAGGCAGCAATGAGGAATCTGATAACGATAACGACAAGGTAATTATCGCTTAGCACTTACAATCTCGATCGATAAATCGAAAGACAAAAGAAAAAATACTTAAAACTAAACAATGACAATAAGCAAGACTCTGCCACTCCTCCGAGACATCATCCTACTCTTCTCCATTCTACACAGTACATCAGTACATCAATATATCTATACTTTCATATACATATAAACATCTACACATCTGAATCATCATCAGCTCGTTCCCATGCATAAATTTGCATAGCTAGAGATATCTTCTCAATTCACTCTCATCTACATACAGAATTGCACATACGCGCACATACATGCACACATACAAGCGCACACGGCTTTCTGGAGTTGCCTTGAAGCTCATAAAATTGTATTTTTTATTTTAATTATATGTTAGGTAGCTATCTATAGAGTATCTGAACTCACACTATCTAAGACTTCTATCTGTATCTATGATTGTAATCTCGTATAGTTAGATTATTATTTAAAGTTTATTAGGTTTTAGCTAATTTATATATATTTAAAAACTATTTATAGACATGTGGTTGAAGAAGAAATTCGAGTATTATTGAGTATTGTATTACTGGAAGCTAGGATTATAACATCTTCAGTTCCAAATGCTATAAAAAAAAGTATTGTAAATATACACATATATGTATATTAGGTATTCTATATCATTACTAGTTCAGTATTAAATTCAGTGGACTATATGGATAGATAGATTAAAATAGATAGATATATGGATTACATATACAGATATTGATAAGCCAATGAATAAATAATAGAATAATATAGAAAGGTAGATAGAGCCAGAAGGCACATAGAAGTATATGGATAGTCAGCTAAATTGATAGGTACTAATGCATATAAACCTATCGCAATGATTGAGTTATCGTTATCGAAATGCATTATTTATAGAAAATAACCAAAAGGTATTTATGTGCGTCCTGTATAAGTGTGTGTGTATCTGTAACTGCGTGTGTGTATGTGTCTCTAGTGTGCGTGTGTGTTTGTGTAAAGGGGGTGTGGCTTTGGAGCGGAACTAAATGGAACTAAAGATTTACCAAATATAGATAATAAGTTGATGAAGCATACATTTATATTTACTATATACTTCTTATATAAACTAAATCTGATCTTTTAGACAATCCATACATATATAGTTTTCTTTGCATTTCTTATTATATAATAGCATAAATTGTTCAACTTCTTAATGAGTACTGCCGTAAAAAGAGCCTGGCTAAGAGATACCCTGTAGCAAACGTACACGTCCATACAAGCGTAAACACAGACACACACACATACACGCATATATTACATTGCAAACTCTACGATAGGAAACTTTTGGGTTTCTGGTCCGCTTCTAATGAAAAATTATCCAAATGAGAGCTTAAACGTTCGGTAGGGCTGGGGCTAGTACAAATTTCAATGAATAAGCATTTTCTAGATCAAGTAATTTATTATGAGTGATACTCATTTCCTTAGTAATAGATCTGTACTATGCAACACGTGGCGAATAAACTAGTGCAGCGAATTGAACCAGAGCTACTATCTATCCTTTTCTTTTGCGTTGATCTCTGGTGATATGCGTATACATACATATATTCTATATGTATAGAGATTTTTATATATTGTATGTATGCTCTGTAGTTTTGTTTTTTCCTTATTTTCTTTAGGGTAGTTAGGTTTCGTTTAATAGATATAGAGTATAAATATGGTTCGTTACTTTTTTCAGATAATCGCCGTGCCTGCATATCTCTCATAAAAACTTTCACACCCATACACACACCCGCACACACATACACGCTCACGCACAAGCATACACACAGACGTACATTGTTTTTGTATGTATTTTATGCCAAATCGAGAATAAAAGAATTACACTGACCAACATGTTTAAGACTCACACTAATCTACATGAGTGTGTGTGGGCTTTTTTTTTTACTGAATATTTAATTTTTTTTTTTTTTTTAAGTTTTGAAATTAAGTAAAACAAAAGAAAATTTAAATCGCTTGACTTAGACGTAAGGCACATATATAATAATATTATATATTATAGTAACTTATAACAAATTATTTTGTATTAAAAAAAAAGAAAGAAAGAAAAAAAAAAACGAAAACAAAGATTGATATAGTTTATTCGAAACTATATATATATATATATCAGATAGTTATATATACACAAATTTATATATAGAGAAAGAAATATTGAGCTAATGAGCGTAAATGATTGTTGATATGATAATGATAATGATAATGCTGATGATAATCACAAAAGTTAATGCTAAAATTAAAGAAACCAAACAAAAGACTACAAAAATAATAAACAACAAATATATTTACATGTGTTTCTTATTCCTATAAAAAAAAAAAAAAAAGAAAAAAGCAAATGTTGAAAACAAAAGTAAAAGAAAATATAAATATGAAAAAATAATAGTACATATTGTTATATTGCTATATATATTCACGTAGTTCTCCCTCATAGTGAGAAGCTTCGGCGAGAGTTATCTGTCTATCTACCCATCTAACTGTCTAACTTTACCTAGAAGTGGATAAGGTTTTCCGAGTTGCCCGAGCACTGCTAGCTCTCTCTCTCAATCCAATTCCGTCTGCATTTTTCATTAGGTATGGAGAACTGGGGGTGTATTAGTTAGTGCTTTGATTCAGTTAATTTTTCCGCCTTAGTTTAAGTTCCTAAAGAGCTTTAGTTGGCTTTCAATAAAGAGTTTACACTAAATGCATTCATTAACTATATGCACATACATTCATACACGCACACATACACGTATATATACGATATACACATGTATCATTGACACCTATCTCCTTTCCTTTGATTGCCCTTTTATTAATATATCTAATTGACTGATCATTTTACTAATAATTGTTATATACATATTTATATATTTAGACACGCATGTATGTATGTATATTTATATGAATATGTATTTACAATATGATGCAATGATTATTTTCTAAGCTCTATATTTATTGATTGAATTTCTGTTTATTATATTTTGTTGTATAACTATACTGAATTCAATTTTACTAAATTCTCTTATATATATGTATGTATATTTGTCACGTATGTATATGCATATATATTTAGTATATATGATGTATATGTGTATACATGTGTCACCGCCCCTCTCTAAATGCGTACTCTTTAATAGGTCGTCACACGTTCTGAGCTCGCTCATTGCTTGCAGCAGTTGCACTGCGCTCTACTCCATTTCCCTTATGCGACTTCTCGAATTAGGTGTATCTTAACTCAGTACAAATTTCTGCTTTACTTGGAAGGTGAAATTTTAATATTTGTACACAATGAAACAAACACAACTCAAGCACACACATACACACATACACATCTCTATATACACACACGCACGTGCAATATCTACGCAACTTCAGCAAGAGAGCGAGAGTGTGAGAGAAAGAATTTTTCCCTAATTGCAAAAAAAGAAAAAGCGACAAAAATTTGATCAACAACCGCCTGACGAAGCTTTAATGGGACATATGCATATGTATATCTCTGTATGCTGTATACGTATATGTGTTTGCATGCATGTGTCTGTGGGAGTCTAGCTTTTGAGCTTTTTTTGCAGTAAACAATATTTGGTACCAAATCCAAAAATCAAAACAAAAGCAAAAGTCCCAAAAGCAGTTTAAAAAAAAAGTACCAAAAATACTAAAGAAAAAGTACCACACCAAAGACTCATGGAAAATAATGCAGACAACACAAACGTAGTTAAAAGTGATTTCACACACACGCATACATACACATGCATGTACACAAACATACACGCTTACATTTTCATGCGCCTCGCAGTTCAAATATAGCAGCAGACCGAGCTTTGAAAATCAGTCAGAGTGAAAAAAGCAAGAGGAACAGCAATTAGATAAAGATGAAGAAGAGAAGTAAGATAGAAAAAGCACACGTAGAAAATTTCAAATTTTGTATGTGCTTTTTGTTTTTTTTTTCATTGTATTTCTTTTTCTTTTTTTTTTTTGCTGAAGAGTTGATGATGATCAAGTGGGGGTGGGGTTTTGCTGGAGTTTGGCGCTTGCGCGCAAGCTTATAGTAATTTTAGGATTTAAGACAGCAGCCAACAAACAACAAACTACATTTTAAGTGATACCGTGAACTAAAGCAAAACAAAAAAACCAACAAACTGTTTTTTTCTCTTCTCTTTGCATTTACTGTTCAAAATAAACCAACATAAACACATTAAAAAAAAAAAAAAACATTGTCCGAAAAAAATAAACAACAACAACAACAACGGTTCATACATATAAAATAACGTACGAATCGAAACCGAATTATAAAATATCAAAATTATTGAATTGCATTCGCTTGCTGCTGCTGTTATTGCGACTTCGTCGGTATTACAAAAATTTTGCATTAAAAAAAAAAACGTAAATACAAAAAAAAAAAAAAACCACAACAACGAAAACGAACGGCAGAAGGCCCATAACAATAATGGCGGATTGCCTGGAAGCAATGGAAGTGCCAACAACAACAGCAGCAATGCATCTGGGGATAACGGCGGAAGCAGCAGCGGCAGTGGCGTTGGCGCGGGCAGCGGCAGCAATAGCAATAACAACAACAGCATTGAACTGGATGCCGAGCAGCTGTGCATCTATACGAATGCATTGAGCGATGATATGCTTGGCTTTGGCCTGCCCGGCTTTGGTCTGACCATCGATAATGGCATCGAGTTTGATAACGATATCAACAATCACAATGCTGGCAACACTGGCAACAGCAACGGCAGCGGCCGGCGCGTCGTTGTGGGCGGTTTTTGCAAAAATTGCAATGTTGTCTGCTACATATTGTTCGATTCGCCATTGGGTCGCATGTGCAAAAGTTGTCACACGCACTGGAGGTAGATATTCCCATTAAAAAAAAACAAAAAAAATAAAAATAAAAAAAAAAAAAACAAACCAACTTTAGCTAAACTATGTTGTACAAATCGAAGCTAATGCTAAGTTTTCTCTCTCTCTCTCTCTCTCTCTCTCTTTCTCTCTTTTCCATTCTTACGCTCTTTGAACTCGAACAAAAACTGAATGTTGCCTGACACACACACACACACTCATACACACACGTTCGCACATACACACATCACACACTCTCCCTCACACACACACACACACCTACACATACATACACTCACACAATCATCTGTTCATTCATGTTTGATGTTGTGCTTGTTTTGCCTTTTTTCCTCGCCTCTTTCCATTTTGAATTCGATATTTTGTTGCTGTTGTTGTTGTTTTGCTCATGCGATAGACGCACTGGAAATCGACGACCGATCTCTGGTCCGGATAGCGTTGTGTCCTCCAAACGTTCCGCACACAACAACAACAACAACAACAACAGCAATAGCAATACTAATAATACGAACAATAATAATAACAATACCAACAACAACAATAATAATAACAACAACAACAACACCGCCGCTGCGGCAGATCGCTCCAAGCGAAAACCACCGCGTGGCATGTATATCAATCACGACGATCTCACCGCCCTGGCCGGCTGCAAAAATCCGTGCGAATACCTAGCCGAAGGCGATCGCAAAATAGCCGCTCTCATGGCCGAAGTAAGAAACTTTAAGTATTCATTCATCCACATCAGCATCAAAATCAACTTTCGTACATTGGAATGCAGAAGCTTTGCGGACTGGAAAGCATGGATGCAGTTCCCATCGAAGCTCCTTTTAGATAACGTTAGGATGAATATGCAGTAACTGTAATGTAATATCTGGCATGCAAAAAGCTTGGACTGGAATGTTAACTTAGAAGAACCAATGAAGCTTTTCTTACGTTCCAATTATATTGAACTGGATGTGTATTCCAGTCATATATGTACGCAGATCACTTGCATAATATATCGTAAATATACATTTCAGTCCTATCGAACTGAATGCACAAGCTACAATCAAAATCCAGCTGAAGCTTTTGACGTAACAGCTCATATTTTCTGATATCCAATCGAACTGAAATGTTATTTCAATATGTTTCCTGTAACATTGCAGTGTTGGTTAAACTCTATTTGGTAAATGACTTGTGCAGGGTATTCAGTGAAGAAATACTTCAAAAAGTCTATCTATTCTGTATTCTGGCTTGGAGTTAGTAGCTGGAACTACAACTCTTGAGCCAACTATAGACGAGCAGGTCTATATAAAAATTTCTAGGGTATCTAAAGAATATCACAGTTGTCCTAAATTTTTTGGATTATAGTAGTTCTTTATGCCGTTTATTCACACACACACACACACACACACAAACACGCTCAGCTACATATCGAAATACATTCAATATATCCGCAGCCTGCATATCGTATCGTATCGTATCGTATCGTATATCATATATCACTTATACATATCGTACACACACATAGACACACAATTGTAGGTCGTATCGAACATACGCACATGGACATTGAACGGACCGTATTTACAATCTACACAGACTTGACATCCAGTTCTCCCCCCCACCCCCCATCCCGCAACCCTCTCGCGCTCTCGTTCTCTCTATCTTCCCGAACTTTTGGATTTAATGCCCCATGGCCCATTTTACAGATACAAAAGAATAGGCAACTAATGGAGCATCTGGAGAGGGACTGCAACGATGGCCAACTGACGGAAGAGGGCGGCAGCAATGCAGCTAAAGCCTCGCTAGGAGCAGCCGGAGCCGTCGCAGCAGGAGCAGCCGCAGCTGCTGCAGGAGAGACGACAGCAACAACAACGACGACGACGACGTCGTTGACTTCAACAGGCACAGCTACAGCGGCGGCAACACCATCGCTAACAGCAGCAGCCGCCGCAGCAGCGACTGCTCAGCCAGCTCGCATTTCACCACGTTGGACAAGCGATGAGAACAAGGTGGTGTTGCTCGCCTTGCGCGACTACGGCAAGAACTTTCAGGTGAGTGAATGGGCCGAGATCGCAGTGCAGATCGAGTAATTCATTGGGGTCCTTCTCCATGCAGATGATCGCCAAGGTGGTTGGCACCAAGACGGAGGCGCATGTGCGCACCTACTACTTGAACAATCGACGACGCTATAATCTAGATGAGATCGTTAAGGAATATGAGGCCAAGGCGGAGGAGGCATTGCTCGAGGAGCAGGGCTCTGAGGCAGCAGCAGCAGCTGCATCAGCGGCAGGAGCTACTCCAACAACAGCAGCTGCAGCAGCAGCCACAGCAGCAACAACTGCTGCCAACTCCTCCAGTGAGGCGAGCGAGGAGCAGCAGCTCTCGAAAAAAGATGAGATGGCTAAGAAGAAGTCGGACTTGAGCACTGACGGCAACTCAACAGCAGCAGCAGCAGCAGCAGGTTCAGGAGCTGCTGCATCTGGCCCAGCGGCAACAGCTGCTGCAGTAACTAGCACAGCAGCTGCTGCTGCTGCAGCTGCTGTTAGTAAAGCTACGCCCACTATAACAATTGTCGACGAATCGGATACGGCGACCAACTCCTCGAGCAGCGATGCAGTTCAAATCGTTGCCAATTCTGTATCCAGCTCAACACTGTCCAGCAACAGCAGCAGCAGCAATAATAACAACAACAATAACAACAACAACAGTAACAACAACAGCAGCAGCAGCAGCGCCGCGCCCGCCAAAACAGCGACCAACAACAATCACAACGAATCAGCTGACAGCCAGGAATCGTCCCTAACGCTCAAGTCAAGTCACGTCTCAGCCGCTAAGCGTGACAATTCCGAATTGGTATGTGATAAAAGAAAAACAATGCAACAACTCGTTGGCCAATCGCGAGAAGCGATGCGATGCTATAAGCGATAATAATCGCAGCGATCTTCAAAGCGATGACATGCCAGAGTGAAAGAGAGAGACATTGCTTGAATTGCCAAAAAGAATATATTACACCAACTAACCAACGGTTATTTAAGCTCAACACGCAACAAAAACACCAGTATAAGAAAAGCTTTTCAGAAATGCTTTCTCGCAACTCGCTTTAACTTGTCGCTTTGGCTCTCTTCGCGCTTCGCTTGCACTCTTGCATGTGAATCTGCATGCAGAGCTTTCTCGCACTTTGTCGCTCAATAGCATCGCATCGCTTCTCGCGTCGGCCTTTAGGGAAACCTATGCTAATGACTCGCTTTCAAATACTAATTATTAATCATTTTTCTTTCTTCTCCTTTTTTGGTTTTTTTTTGTAGAACACTGCCGAAATGCCGCCAGCCAAGAAAATGGCACTAGCCGTTGATTTTCTGGCCAAGTGAGAGTCACGCCCATATGCAAAGAGAAAGAGACGGCCTCCTCGTTGGATGTCTGAAAATAACTGATGCCTGATCAGCAGGCGACACACATAGCAGGCGACACACACACACATATATATATATATATATATGACACTTTATATACACATATATAGACAGAAAGAAATAGTGAGAGAGAGGGAGGGATATATCTAAAGAGAGAGAGAGAGAGAGAGGAAAAGAGAGAGATATAGATAGAGAGAGAGAGAGAGATATAGAGAACGATATTATATATGTATCGTATAGCCCAAAGGTTTTTTTTTTTTTTAATTTTTTGGCGTGTGTTTAAATTTCCGATGTGTCGAGTTCTACTTAGCTAACGTAACTTTTTATTTGATATATATCAGTTATAGATGCACACACCTATACACATACACACGTTCATATATACATATACAAGCTATTGCGTGCATAATTCAATCGATATTTTTAACTAAAGATTATTTTACTCGTTTAGTTAAAAATTTATATTTGAAATTTAAATTATTATTATACAATTTTTGTCGATTCTGCTGAGCATTTAAAAAATTTTGTTTTGATTATATATGAATATGTATATATATACGATACGTATTCTATAAAGAATTGTATACATACATTCATGCATTTGATAGATCTGCTCAAGCTTTATTTACTATTCAGTTTTGTCCTGATTTTGTATGTAAATATATATGTATGTTTTCCTAACAATTCAAGATCACGCTGCGATCACATTCGATCGTTCATCGATAGCTTTTGATCGATACCAATTGTTTTCCTTGTATACCAAACACACAGACAAGAGGGACATTAATGGTTGGCTAGATGACTGCTAAAGAGTTTGCTACTAGAGCATTCACCTACACACACACACATACACATACACACACAGACAGGGACATGCACCCAGACACACTGCACAACAAAAACAAGATAGAAACACGCAAAATGCCAACAGCAACAGCAGTAGACAAACAGAGAAAAGTTACTACTACAATTTATGTATTTAATAATTATTAATATTAATATTAACATTAATATTAACATTAAAGATAAAAAAAAATCAATCAAACATAAATCCAAAAGAAAACAGCAAAAAAAAAAAAAAAGAAAGAAAGAAAAATAAGAAAACAAAAGTAAATATTGTATAATTAATGATGTAAAACAAACACAAATCTTTTTTTTTTTTTTGTGCTGTAATTTTAGGCATAGGTGACATTTTTCGAGTAACGCTTGTATACAACATCTAACACATATACACTGAACAACAACAACAACACGACCACAGACTGCGAACAACAACAACGACAATACGCTACAAAAACATCACAGAACAATGACGACATACAACAACAACAACATGACCAAAAGGACAACTATACCGAACATGCATCAAACACAGAGAATTAGTTAAACAACAACAACAATACAACAGTTAGCCCATTCGCGGTGTTTGTTATGGTACAACTATTATTATAAATGAAAAAATCTTTTTTTTTTATATATTGTAAGCGAATCATATAGGAGTTTTTTTTTTAAATTTGGGTTTTAAATTTGGTTTCTAACTAGGAATACATACACACACACATCATATCCACTCACACACACGCACACACTAAATCATGCTAACAAATTGTATACAAGAAGCTAAAAGAAAACCCGTTTAAGAACTTACAAAATAAAATAAAATAAATTCAAATAAAAATGTGTGAAAATTGTGTTTATAATTGATGCCCAGGTGTAGTTAAAGTGAAGTTAAAGTAACTAGTTGGAAGAGATACATAGGCCGAGAAGTGCAGCCTCGAGCTCTGCTAAAGATTGAAATATGTGGAAGTGGAATATGCAAACTGCATGCCGTTCTCTAACAACTGAGCTTTCAAATTGACGAGTTCCTCTATGCGATTATCTTCATCAATAAGAATGGAAGATGAGAAATGCTGCTTGAACTTCTGCCTTAGTTTTGCTCTTGCAGCATAACCAACTGCATCTGAGGGATGCTAATCAATGCACCCAAGCACATATACAAGCACACTTCAGTCTATACATATGTATGTGTGTGCTGCGAGAGAGCCATAAAGCTCATCTACGTATGCAAAAGTTTTTGCGCTGGTTTATGCATGTGCAGAAAAGCTAACTGAGCCTCAGGTCAAAAAGCTTGCACGCAGAGTGAGGCTCTCCACACTTTGATGACCGATCGACTTGTGAGGAAGAGAGAGAAGAGCTCGGACTAGTAAAGGTTTTTCTGCCTCATTTACTGCATTTAGCTGAAGGAATTGGATACCGTTTCTCTTCAAAAAATAGATTGAGGGAGGAGGGACGCAGTGTGACAGATACAGACAGAGAGAGAGAGCAAGATAGAGATATAGGGTATATACGCTTCGGCTATATTGAGTTGCATTTCGTAACTCGTGGCAGGAACAGGCTGCGCAGCGAGCTTTGTCCAAGCTTTCGCTTTCGCTTTTACGGTGCGACACGATGAGGAGCAAATCGAAGCTTTGATTTGTTGCTTCCCACACGCACATACACATCGAGTAAACGAAAAAAATGTCAACAAATTGTGTTGAATGTTATCAAAATCGTACAAAATATTTAAAATAAAATTCAAAATTATACGCGCAAAACAACTGAAAAGAAAACAAAGCAAAGGCAGTGGAGCATAAACGTGAGCGAAGGCAACAGGGTAGGGGCAGCAGCAGCGGCAGCGGCAATTAGCAAAAACAAAGAGAGAGAGTAGCGCAAGGAAGAGCAATCGCAAAGACAAACACAAAAAGCAAAATTAAAAGAAGCATACGCAAAGGCAAAACCAATTAAAACAAAAGCAAAGGACACACGCGAGAGCAACAACAGCAACAGCAAAACCAACGGCAGTTGAAAGCAGGAGAGCACCGAGCTGCGGAGTTAAACGAAGAAAACAAAAAGCAACAAGCAGCAACAGCAACAATTGTGCAAGTGCATGTGTGTGCGTGTGTAAGAGAGCGAGGGAGTGCATGTGAGCGTGTGTGTGCACTTTTGCGTGCGTGCGTGTGTGTGTGTGTGTGCGTGCGTGCTTTTATATCTGCTCGTGTGTGTTTGTGTGTGTGTGTGTGTCTGTTTTGCGTGTGCAGTAACAGCGACGGCCCACCCCCGAACTTAATGAGCAAAATGAGCATGTTCTTCAACCGAGTGCCGTTGTTCAGCTGCTTTAGCGGCAACAGCGAAAGCTGCGAGGAGCTGTTGCCCTTGAATGGGGCCGTGCGCAAGGAGCCCGTTATCCTGAATGTCTACGATTTGTTTACTATCAACGAATATGTGACGCCACTCGGACTGGGCATCTTTCACACCGGCATTCAGGTGTATGGGACAGAGTACACCTTTGGCGGCCATAGCCTGAGCAACACGGGCATCTTTGAGCTGCCGCCGCGCAGTGCTCAACAAGAGTTGGGCCAAAACTTCCACTATCGCGAGAGCATCCACCTGGGCCACACACACCTCAGCCGCGACGAGGTGCGTCGCATTGTGGATCAGCTGGGCTGGCAGTTCAGTGGCAACAGCTACCATCTGACCAGCCACAATTGCAATCACTTCTCGGATGCAATGTCTCGTATCTTGTGTGGCCGGCAGATACCGGGCTGGATCAATCGGCTGGCCCACTTCGTTGGCTGTGTGCCGTTCCTTGAGCGCTGCTTGCCCCCTGATTGGCTGACACCCATGTAAGTGGGCGTGACAGCAGCAGGGGCAGCCAAACAAACCGAGGATGCTGGCGGTGATGGAAAGGGGCGGGCTCAACAGCTATCATATTCCTAACATAAGATTCATTCAATTCGTTATTAATGTGTGACAATTATCGTAGGAACCTCAAGTACAAGTATCATCCAAATCCAAATCCAAATCCAAATCCAAATCCCAATAAATAGTTGTATGCTAATATTCTTTCTTTTATAGATACAGAGATCAGTGAGGAGTGAGGAGTAATGACAAGCTATGGCTAATGACGAGGGGATTGGGGGTTGGGGAAACACAAGTGATATATACATAGCTGTAAGCAGTTGGGCTGGGCATGTTTATTTTTTGTTATTATAACAACGGGGTATCGTATGACGAGTAGAGACTGGAAGGCATTATATTTTATACAAATGTATGTTTACTACTAAATATTTCGTAAGACCGTGTACCGAGTACCGAATAACGTAGAAGACAGTTGTATTTTATATATGTATGTACCTAAATGTACCAGTTGAAGCTTTGTTAGTTTTTTGTTCTAGCAAGATTATATATACTGATAATCCTCTATGCTTGGCGAGTGACGAATCATACACAACCTACTCTCATATAATCTTTAAGCATTAAGATAATCTGAGCTGTTCCCTAATCTAAGATATTGTAAGACTCAACAGATGAAATTGTGACAGTTAATGGTGAATGACAAATTATTGTAATATCAATGTACGTATCTGTGTTTACTATAAGTGTAAAAAGTTGTAAAGCTCGCTCAATAGATGTGTCTATGATCTGCGAGCTAAATGTTATACATATATGTATGTGTGTGTGTTGTGAATGTGCTCCAAAAACTGGTTTCTATTGTTAGGCCTATGTAAGAGTTATGCCAGTTGAATTTTCTTGAAAGTTTCTCGCTTTACTGAAATTGCGGCAAGTAGCGAGTAAGAAGCAACGAGATACTACGGGTAGAGAGTAACGAATGACTATAAGAAATCGACTCAACTAATAGCTTAATTAGTTTTTTTTTTTCTGCTCTCTTTTTTTCTATACAAAGGCGAAATTTTATTGGAACGACGAAGTTGCAACTGTGGCGAGTAGCGAGTAAGAAATAACGAGTGAAAAACTATCTTTGGTATACATGTACTACATATGATGTATTTATTTACGTAATCTTGTGTAAACTTTGAATGTTACTCAGATGAAACAATTTTTGATAGGCCAGTTATACAAAATATATCAAATAATTCTTAAATGTACACAAATTCATGGCAGTCTGATGCTTTTTGGCGAGTGGGGGAGCGTGATTATGCTGCTTGTGCGTAAGTTGAGCCATTGAGCGATTTTTGTTTACTGAGCAACTCCTGTGCCGCCCCCATGGTATGTGATATATGTATGTATGTGTATACATATACAGCTATGCCATCAAAGCGTTCGGCATTTGGGCGCCATCAGGGAATGCGCTGACATTGCCAGCGCGAGTTCCCCTTCAATGTTTGCTTTAATTCTTTGATTTCATTTTTAGTTCCCAGCATTCAGTAGAAATGGCATTGAGGCAGCTTAGCAACACAAATTATACACATATGTATAATTAACTGTTGTTGATCATCGTTACGTATTGCTCAAAATGGACTCCACTTACACCTGTACTTGCCATGGAAATGACTCTTATATTTTATACTCCTACACTCACACAAATGTACTGTCGTGCACTTACATATACATATGTATATACTCACTTGTACTCATACTAATAAACTGTGATACTCTTCAATTTGTTCACTCTTCTACTGCAGCACTCTTATACTGTCTACTTTTCTACGTGTCTTGTCAGCTTTTGTTACCTGCTGCTGCTCTCTTGCTCTTTTACTCTTATGTTCTCGTCCTCTAATACTTATAAGAACTTGAGCTTTGATTCTCTTATACTCTCCTATACTCTTAGTCTTCTATACTCAACTACTTTTAAGCTCTTATGTGTGTAAGCTCTGCGCTCATTTATTCTCTTCTGCTCTTACACGCTTCCACCATTACATTTAGCCATTTAAAAGCTCACATGGCTTCCAAAGCAAGCAATATACCCCGCTAAGCCGCATTCCCATAGCTACAGGGTATAGCTACATTTATTGAAATTCTTGTTTTTGTTTGTTATTTAGTTTTTATTTATGTTTCATTTTGCTGTTGTTTGGCATAAATTGTTAAACATGTTTTTTGGTTTTAATTTAATTTTTTTTTCGTATTTAAATATATATAGTTATGTATATTTTTTTTGTTGTTTTTCTTTTTTCGTAGTTGTATTTGGTTGTAGTTTTTGTTTTTCTTGTCTTCTTTTATCTAGTTTAGTTGTTGTTTTTATATTTTAATTATTAAATTTAACTCTCGTTTATGCATTGCTTAGCTAAAAAAAATCCACTTACAATTAATTTACACAAGTTGAAATAGTGCGAATGACTTTTTGTTTGGTTTTCGTATAGCTGTCTTCTAGCACTCGCTGCTTTTGATCTAAAAACTAACGAGATAAGAGTGTGAAGGGAGGGAGGGAGGGGAGGGGGGGACTAGCTACTATAGCCTGTTCTAAAAAT